TTTGAAAGAAATTCTTCAGGAATTAGGACTATAAACCCAGGTAGAATCACAGAAGTGACAGAAGCAATAAATAGCAAAAGAAAGGGTCAATATGTGAAAAACAAATTCTAAGTGAACAGAACATTTATGATGACTTACAGGTTTTAGAAAGATAAATAGAAAATAGGAAAAACAATACAAATGATGGGGTAAACTGACTTAAACATGCTAAGGTTTTTGAATCATTTAGGAAGTGATAAAGTAATTGTATTAGCCTCTCTTAAGGGAAAAATGAATGTTATAATCACTAAAAAGGATTTAGAAGACTGAGATAACAGTTCTATAAAGGGGAATAATGAATTGACAATTCTTAATTAGTGCAAAAGAAGGCAAAAATGGAAAGCATCTGGAACATAGGAAAAATGGGAAATAAAAAGAAAATCAAGATGGTAAATTTAAATCCAAATATATGTGGGTTACATTAAATACAAATAAATAGTCCAATTAAAAGACAGACTGAATAAAAGCAAAACTTTATATGCGTCTTACAAGCAATGTGCTTAATATTTATATGAAGTCAAAAAGGAGTTTGGCAGTAACAGGATAGAATAGAATATATCTAGAAAATAAGACCCTAGAATAAAACCTGGCATAGTTATACTAATTTCAGATGAAGCAGACTTTAAAACAAGAAGCATTGCATTTAATGATAATGAATCAATACAAAAGACAAACTTTGCATGTAGATAATAACCCAAAACAAGGTAGAAAATGTAGATAAAATATTTAAAGAGGTTTGTGATATAGTTAAAGATACCATTTTAACAGCCACCAGGATGAGAAAGATTTAGAATTCTATATAACCTTTAAGGCACATTCCTACTTAAATATTTCAAGATCTTAAGAAAAAAAAAGAAATCTCCCAAATTTAATAAAGCCACCAAAAGAAATCTTATAAGAATAAGAAACCAACTAATCAAATCATACAAATCCAACTTCATTTATGAATATATTCCAGGCAAGCAAGAGCAGTTTGATATTCAAATCTGAAAGAAAACTAAATACATCAATAAATTGAAGGGGAAAAACTGATATCGGTAGATGCTGAAAAGACTTTAATACTTGGTAGAAGAAAGCACGGTAGACCATGCACAAAATTTCTGGCCTAAGGATTTAAATGTGCGACAACAAAAATCAATGCAAATAGAAACATTAAAAAAATAATTCAGGAGAATACTTATGCTACATTAAAATTCCATGCACAGTGGAGCTCAGTGGGCTACAGTCCATGGGGTTGCAAAGTCAGATACAATTGAGTATGTGTACACCTTCACTAGGACTGAGTTTTTTTAAAAAAAACCTTTACCAACTCCTCAGCCATACCTCTTACAGATTTCTGGTACAGAGCCTAGGTAACCTCAGGGTTTCTTGTATTTTCTTATCTGCCTTCTCTGACCACATGGTCAGGGACCACAAAACGTGCATCCAAGGACACAGTAGCTGGGCAATAAAAGTTTGGCCAAATGGATGAATGATGGCTCCTGACTGTCTCCTGGGGCAATGGCTGGAAGGAGCAGGAAGCAGATTGTGTTTTGGGCAGTAGTACGAGTGTTGGCTTTCAAACAGAATTGCCCTGGGGTGACTCCAAGTTATGAGCTATGTCATCCTGTGCAACTTATTTCTCTGCAGTTTATCCCCTGAAAGGTGCTTCGAACACTACTGTGTCTCTGGTCGCTGTGCAGAAATAGCCCTTACTACTAGGGCTTCCCAGGTCCGCCTGCCAATGCAGGAGATGCAAGAGACATGGGTTTGATCCCTGGTTCAGGAAGATCCCCTGGAGTAGGAAATGGCAACCTGCTTCAGTATTCTTGCCTGGGAAACCCCATAACAGAGGAGCCTGATGGGCCATAAGCCCGTAGGGTCACAAAGAGTTGGACACGACTGAGTGATGGAGTACACTCACACACACACAGGCTATTATTAAGCTTGGCTGAGACACGGTCAGGGGAGGCAGTGTGGCTGAGGGTAAAAGACTGGGTGACGTTCCCAGCATGTCTCTCACCATTGGAACCGCGTCCAAGCATAGAGCTAGAGTCAATTGGAAAATAACCTGGCTTGTTTCATTTGTTATTCTTGCCCCTCTTTTTTTTTTTCTTTTTTAAATCCCAAGTAAGTTGTTAGCTTAATGCAATTTAACCTAACAACAATTTCCCCCAAATAATTCAAATTATCAAGGAGATTCAGTGAAATATACACGTATATCCACCATCTGGGCTTCCCTGTGGTTCAGCTGGTAAAGAATCTGCCTGCAATGCAGAGGACCTGGGTTTGGTCCCTGCGTTGGGAAGTCCCCTGGAGAAGGGAAAGGCTACGCACTCCAGTCTTCTGGCCTGGAGAATTCCATGAACTGTATAGTCCATGAGGTCACAAAGAGTTGGACACGACTGAGCAACTTTCAAAGATGAACCTTGCTATAACTAGATACTGTACCTTGAAACATTAGTTAATGACAGTTTGAAAGCCATTATAATTACTAATGTACATGCTAATTGTGCAGAACATGAAGACCAACATCCAGTTTCTTTAGTAGTGGTGCAAAATACCATGCAATATTTAGCCCAGGCCTTTATAATATTTCTCTAAATTCTTTCCCCTCTTTGGCTAATTGCAGCTCCCTCTGCAGCTGTCTGTCTCAGGTCTCAGCCCTGGTTGTAGCTTGGAGTCATCTGGCCCTGCCGCGACCAGTGAAATCAGTAGCTTCCCAGGGCTTTTACATGCAGCTGAGATTGAGCACCACCAATCCTTCATTCTCCTGATCCTAGTAGGATGAGCTCAAGATTGCACAGGTCCAGAAACTGCAAGCATATTTTGGGAGCAACATCTGTTTTCTCAGGAAAGAATTTACCAAGTTCAGCAGTGACCGCAGGGTTTGGTGCCGGAAGCTTAGAGTCCTAGCCCTAACACTAGCTGGAGAGGCGACCCCCGTAAGCCACACACCTTTCTCTGCCCTGTTTCCTCAGTCCTTCAGATAAACACAAAATAAGCTCTCCCACTCTGCTTCAGACTGTATTATGACATTTAAAATGCAAAATAGCTAGGACTTCTAAAAACGCTGAAGTCACACCAGTGTAGTTTGTTAGTGTTCCCATCATGTTAGTCGCTCAGTCATGTCTGACTTGTTGTGACTCCATGGACTGTAGTCAGCCAGGCTCCTCCGTCCGTGGGATTTCCTGGGCAAGAATACTGAAGTCGGTTACCATACCCTCCTCCAGAGGATCTGCCCAACCCAGGGATTGAACCCGGGTCGCCTGAGTCTCCTTCACCGCAGGCAGATTCTTTACTGTCTGAGCCACCAGGGGTGATCCCTTAAGTCAATTAAATAAGTTCCCATCATAATCGAGCACAATCTTTGCTATCCGCTAGCTTTGGCCATTTTACTTTTTGAACCTATTTCCTCATCCGTAGAACGGAGTTACCTACTCTGCAGATGATGTATTTAACAGCAAGGCAAACCATAGGACCTGAAAAACACAAGCTATCCTATTATTGTGCTTGCTATCCCTGTGTAAAGAATCTGCCTGCCAATGTAGGAGACACAGGAGACTCGGATCTGATCCCTGGGTTGGGATGATAGCCTGGAGAAGGAAATGACAACCACTCCAGTATTCTTGCCTGGGAAATGTCTTGAGCCTGGCGGGCTATAGTCATGGGACCGCAAAGAGCTGGACATGACTGAGTGACTCAACAATAATTTCTTTGCATGTTTTATCATTACAAAACTGTGCCTGGACTCACACAAGCCTTGATGTCAAGCCTGCCAACAAACCCCATAGTTTCTCATGTGAGTAGACACTGGCAGCCATGTGGCCCTGGTGGGATTGTGGTTTCCACGTGGCAACTTTAAAACATTAAAATCTCAGGGAGTCTTTGGTTAGGAACCAAGCCAGCTGAGGTGACAGGTGCAAGGCACTTTGCTGCCTGGGAGCTGTCTCTGGCTTCCACTACCTGGGCTTTCCTGACTGTTAGGTGTCTGGCAGAAAATCAATGCTGGCAACAGGTGAAGGTCTGTAATCAACCTAAGTGAAGTGGGTTGAAATCTTCTGGCATGTTGTATCATAACAGGATGAGGGAGGGTTACAGAGGTGCTGGGTTCTCTTTGACTAAGTCCGGCCACCCTCTGTCACCCTTACCTCTCCCTCTGAGTTATGGTACCTGGTACCTTTTTCTACCCCCCAGAAACTGTGCATTCTCCAGTATTGGGCTCTGTTTTCTTACACTGACCACACGTCCAGTGATTATAAACATTGAGGTCTCTGGGAAACTCAAGATTTAGAAATTCAGACACTTGAACTTTGTGAATTTGAAAGTGTAAGATGGGAAAAGTGTTTGAAGATGGCTATAGCACAGTTGCTTCCCTGGTGACTCAGTGGTAAAGAATCTGCCTGCGATGCAGGAGACATAGGTTCAGTACCTGGGTTGGGAAGATCTCCTTGGAGAAGAAAATAGCAACTCACTCCATTATTCTTGTCTGGGAAATCCCATGGACAGAAGAGCCTGGCAAACTAGTCCATGGGGTTGCAAAAGAGTTGGACATGACTTAGTGCTGAACACACACATAGCACAGTTATTCTCAGTTTTGAGTCTGTCGGTGTATATGTATATTCTTACTTGAGAGGGAGGTGGGAGGGGGGACCGGGATGGGGAATACATGTAAATCCATGGCTAATTCATTTCAATGTATGACAAAAACCACTGCAATGATGTAAAGTAATTAGCCTTCAACTAATAAAAATAAATCGAAAAAAAAATAGAAATTTATATTGTCAGCCAGTGACATTAACAGATTTTTCTTTTCTAAAGCAAAGCTAAGAATTACTATGCTATAACATATCTTGCAGCAAATAGAACAATTGATTGAGAATGTCAGGGTTCAGCGCAAAAACAAAAAACCACAACAGAAGTCTACTTAGAAGGCATGAACTGTCACTTGAAATGAGAGTCTGAAATACTGTTCCACTTACCCACTGATATAGTCCAAACAGCAATTATTTTCAGAAACGCCTTGGTTCTGGAGTTGAACCGGCTGTGATGGATGGGGTTCTGAATGGCAACATAGCGGTCCAGGGATATGGCACAGAGATGCATGATGGAGGCCGTGGAGAAGAGCACATCCAGGTAAATCCAAACAGCGCACAGCTTGCTGGGCAGAGGCCACCGGTACCCTGGGATGCAGAAGGTTATCATTCGTGAGTGACCTTGAACTTCTCTGGCATATGAAATTTACTCTGCTTGAATAGTTTTCATCCTGGGAAAAGGCATGGTTAACAGCAAAGGGCAACACGAAATATTTTCAGTACTTCAAAACAGCCTGATGTCAATTGTACATAAGCAGAGCAAGACTACACTGGTTGAACGCATGATTTGAAAACTTATGGCTGGAATCATGCTGGTGTGTTGTAAACTCAGGCTGTGTCTCTTCAGGGTTTTTCTCCTTCTGTCTCCTCTACCTAACAATATCTACTTTTCTTTTTGTTTTTAATGACTTAGGTCGGGAGTTATGATGTACTTTGGGTTCCTCTATCAAAGAACCCTGCGGAATACCATGGACAGGGCAGCCTGGTCAAAGAATCCTATTAGCTACTTATTTATTGACTGACTTTTTTTCAGACTGTAGGTTCCCTGAGGTTAGACCATCTCTTAGCCATTATTACAATTGCTGAGTCTTGCACAGTGATGGCATTTAGTAGTCTGCCAAAACTGCTATTGGTGTGAATGAAGAAATGATTAAAAATCTAGATTGGGCATGTGTGCATGCTAAGTTTCTTCAGTTGTGTCCGGCTCTGTGAGACCCATGGACTATAGCCCGCCAGGCCCCTCTCTCCAGGGGATTCTCCAGGCAAGAACACTGGAGTGGGTTGCCATGCCCTTCTCCACAGACTGGTATATGCCTTCATGAAAATGAAGCTTCCCTAACAATGCTTTGGGGATTAAACTCAAACTGGGGGGACGTGAGGCGGGGCAGGAGGATGAAGACAACGGTGAAGAAAAGCATAGTATTCTAAGAACTGTTTCAGGGAAGTGATGCTTAAACTTGAAGGAGCCTCAGAATCTTTGAGGTGGTTTCTTAAAATGAGCCACTGGAGCCCACCTCCAGGTGTTCTTATTCTATGCATCTGCAGTGGGGCAGGAAGAATTGCATTTCTAACAATTTCCCAGCTGGTACTGATGCTACCCGTCCAAGAACCACACTTGGGCAACCACAGCCTGGGGCAGTGGTTCTCACCTGGGGGGTGCACATTAGAATCAGCTGAACAGCATTTCTGGGGGTCCTGATACCCAGGAGGGTGGGCGGAAGTTGGACCTCAACTTTAAATTGACTTAAAGCTACCCAAAGGATCCACTGTGAGATGCAGGGCAGGAAGTCACCTGCTATATTAAAAAGATAGGGTATGCCTGAGGAACACACATTCTCCTGTATCTGTTTGTTTTAGAGGGAGATCAAACGGTTATATAACCTTAATTAGTTTTGATGACAATCTAAGCCATGGTGTTAGATCTGCGCACATGTTAAGAAGGAAAATTATGAAGACCATCTTTCCCTATGCTCTGGACCCACAAAGCTGAACAAACTCTCTGTTCACAAACCATCTCTACCAAGATGCCACCACTGATGTTTAGAAAAGTAAAAGTGCAGGAGACAAGTCTGACTTGGTGCCTTTCACGCTTCAGGCAGAGAGCTTGAGCTTCAAGGAGAGCCCAGTGCCTGGGAGGAAGCCACTCTCTGCCTGGTCGGAATTGATGCTGACCATGGGAGGAGTTGTCTCTGTAAGGAAGCAGCGGCGGACCGCAGTCTAGGTTTCCGTGGTGAGGATAAGGAGGGGGCATTTCTGCGGAGTCCTGGGGACCAGCCAAGGGAGAGGCGCGTCTCTCGACGGGGATCAACTACGCACAGAGCCGCTGCCACCAGGGGGCGCCGTTGCACCCCGAGCCGGCGGCGCCCGGCTGGACTCGACTTGCTAACCTGGCTGCTGGCGGCCAGCCCCACTTGCCGCTCTAGGGACCCCCCCTCCCCGCCTCCCACCCGGGCTTGGGTTCCCGGATGGGCCCTCTGGGCCCATCTCCCACTCCTGGAGTTTGCCTTCCACGTGGCAGGGTTTTAGGAAGCGGGAACCTCTCCCGGATGTCTGGGAAATGACAAGAGAATTTAATCAGATCATCCTTGTGTGACATTTTGAGTCGTCAAGCGGGGCTGGCCTTCCAAGGAGCGCTGTGGACCCTGTGCAAACCCGACGCCCACGCTCCCTTGCTCACCTCCTTCCTCCTCCATACTCCTTGGGGATGGATTGATACACATATTTTAGCTCTTAAGACCTAGCCAGAAAAATCCCTTCTGAAAATGCCCATAACCTGTTTCTAGCTCTGCGTGACGGGCTGGCGTGCCGTGTCGGCAATCTCAATAGTCTCCCCTCCTCTTCCACTTTTAAAGGGAGAAATCTGACTGTATTACTCATAATTTGGAAAGAATATCACATTCTGCTTCCCGCTGAAGCCGTCCCAGTGTTTGCTGACTTGCTGAGAGGTTTGACTCTTTCAAACTCCACTAAGAAAGCAAGATGAATCTCTTCCCATGTGTTTCCCACCCTCCTCCAAACAATTCGGGAGGAGTTTATGCACATGCATTTAAAAAAAAAAAAAAAAAAAAGGAGACTAAGCAAGAAAAAAAAAAGAGCTGAGGGGTAGAATTCAAAGGCACACCTCCAAATTAATGCTTCTTCAGGCAGGGAACAATTAAAACTAGTGTAAGTCATTTATTCTAATGGAGACACTGCATATTTTAACATTAAACCCAGTGCACCACTAATGTTCTCTCTGTAAATGTTCCAAGGGAACTGGGAAGGTTTTACCACTCCATTAGAAGTGCTGAAAACAGTGTGACCAAGATCAAACTGGCCTGTCTTGAAGGCTGGGATATTTGGTTGGGAATATAAAGGCTTGAAAACCAAGTGGATTCAGATATGACAGGTGCAATTGCTTTAGGACTGTCTTGGGACCTTTATAATTCTACATAAAATGTATGTGCTTTTAAGCACAACACTTTATCTCCCCACGTAAACTGTATATGTTTCAAAGCACAAAACTCTCCAGTGATCACAGAGTACAGGTTGTCTGATCTTTTAAAATGTGATCTCATTTTAAAATTTAAGTAGTGTAACGTGGTAGCCCCTCCTCCATAAACAAAGCCTTACGCTTAGTTGGTCCCCTGAGCCCGGACTCATCTGCTAATGACATGCACGCATTTTGCTACCAGTGTGGGTACAGCTGGGAAGCAAACGCCACTCACCATAGAGGATGGTTAACATGGACACGGGCATGACCAGGAAACCCAGCAGCATATCGGCTATGGCGAGTGACATCAGGAAATAGTTGGTGGCATTCTGCAGCTTTTTCTCTAGGGACACTGCCATGATGACGAGTATGTTTCCGGCAATGGTTAGTATAATTACTACCGCTGTCAACAGAGCAGACCAGTTCTTTTCCTGGAGATGAAGTAAGGAGAAGCAGGGTGGTGAGAGACAGCCCTCACAGGAAAGATTGGTTCGATTTTCTGAGTCCACGGTCCAGTTAAATGCATCCGAAGTGTTACCTTCTCCGGAGTTAAAGTCAGTATTGTAGAGCCTTGTGTCAGCATGTAATTGCATTAAGGAGTTCGTAGTTGAGCTCAAAGAAGTGTTTTCTTCACAGAGAATATCCATTTCTAAGCCGGAACTTGTAGCAGATGAAGTGTAAGAAAAACCTCACCAGTTACAGGCTCTGGTCACCATTCAGCATTATGTCCCCAAGCTCTGTCACCGCGAGGCTGGCGTCTGTGCTGGGCTCCATCGGTTAGCGTTTTTTCTTCCATTATTACAATAGTAGCTAAAGAACTGCGGCGGCTTCTTTATAGTGCTTTCCTTCACAATTTCAGTAGAGTCCTCTGTCTAGCTTCTTTTCTTTTTTTCTCTCCAAAGCAAGATCAAAAAAGCAGCATGGACTTTTAAGAGAGAGGTTGCTGAGTTTTAAGGAGTCAGGGAGAAAAATGTGATCCTGGCCAAAAAAAAAAAAAAAAAGGAAAAGTTTTGTTAACTACCAGGACTGTCATTTAGCTCTATCTCACTCCGTTGGTTACACTGATCATACTAGTTTAGCCACAGCAGCATTAAAATAGCATTTGATCCCAAACAGTGGGGCTGCAGGCAGCCTACAGTACGGCAGGCTATTAAAAACACATCCAGGGTTAATTCCGTAGTAAGTATAGTGGTACTTTGGGTTAGAGTTGTCAGTCTTGGGCTGCATTGCCCCGGCTGCCGGTCAGGAATTTCAGCTTGTATTCTGTGGCTTAGTTAATCAAAGAAAAGAAAAAAAAAAGTCTTAAGGATCAGCAGACAACTTTCCACACTGGGAATTCTCATCGAAACAATTCCATGGCGGCCAAGCAGCCTTTCAAGTCAGAAAGAAAATGACACAACCGTAAAATACAGCAAGCCGGTGAGCAGGGCAACTTACACGGGTCCTCAGGGTCCGCCCGGGAGACACGCTTGGCTCATCTGTGACTCGGTGCATCTCTCCTGGTGATCAAGCCGGCAGAGAGAGCCCCTTCTCCCCAAGCGGCCACTGCCAGCAGCATAGTAATTCGATTTCTGTTTTGCTGACTTCAAAACTGTCTGGGAGAGTCGAGCCAGTGCCAGCGTTGCCAGGTCCGCGGCGGCTCCCTCTGCCCCCGCCCGACTGGGTGCTCCCTCCCTCCCGCGGGGCGCGCGGGGCCGGGCGCGCGGAGGCATGGTCCCCGGGCCGCTCAGAGCCGCGCGGACCGCATCGCGCGGTACCCGTGGGCAGAGCTGCCCGCCCCAGGGGCGCCTGCTTCCCCGGCAAGGGGCTTGCGCCCCACCGCCGCCCGGTTCACTCCGGTGGCCCTCCCTCTATCTATGTGTCAGAAACTGCAAGGTAGCAACACTCAGGGGGGGCGGACCAGGAGGGCTGTTTTTTTTTTTTTTTTTCATTTGCTACATATTAACAGTGGGAACTCCCCCCCCCCCTTTTTTTTTTAATGAGAGAAACAGGAGAAATCGCCTTTGGTACAGATTCCTAAGGCAGGTAAGCCCCACTGTGATATTGTCTAGGGTGAAGGGTGAAGAGAGAATGTAAAGAAAGCCTGAGAATGGTATTTCTTCGGAGCGCTGGTGCTTCGAGGCAGAGAGCTTATTCCTGAAGTGGAATTACTGACATCCGCGATTTGGGCTCAGAATGGTTAGAGGATTTTTGGTAATAATGCTGAGAAGCTATTACTACTATTTTTTTTTTCTTCAAAATTTTAAACACACCATTCAACTAGCTTATTTTCTTCAGCAGAAATATACCCCCTAGAAGTAATCCAATACCTCACATGGGGAAGCGAATAAGTTTTTCCAGAGATAACACTAACGGCAGTCACCTTTATGTGTAAGAAAGCCCCTTCTCAGATTTTTAAAGAAGGTAGATATGTCAGGAATCTCTGTGTATGTATCTTATTTTTACAGATGGGAAAATGGATTCTTTCCTGAATAGTTGAGGTTTTCTAGGTTTCTGTTCACCATTTTATTCTTTACGTTTTCCTTAGTTAAATACACCTCCTCTCTCATTCCTTCAACATGTTTTTGGCCAAATCGGTACCGTCATGGTGCATTTGCCTCAGATATTTAGTTGCCCAGCAGGTCCTTTTATCTCTAGCCTGGGAGACGTTGACCTGAGCATCTTCATTTCCCCCCTCCCATTCTGCCCCCACCTCTTCGTGCATATTTCCATCCTTCCACTTGGTTAAAGAATCACCATCTCTCAGACACCTGGCTATTTTCCACATCTCTTCCCTCCTTTTCACTGCCTGATCTTAAGAAGTCTCCAGGGCCACCTCTGTGTACATATTTCTCAAATCTCTTCTCCAGCCTACAAACCTCACTTCTTTGATTAAAGGCTGTATCATGTTCTCCTGGGCTGCCCTGGTAGCTCAGACAGTAAAGAATCTGCCTGCATTGTGGGAGACTGGGGTTCAATACTTGGGTGAGGAAGAGTCCCTGGAGGAGGAAATGGCAACCCACTCCTGTATTCTTGCCTGGAGAATCCCATGGACAGTGGAGCCTGGCGGGCCACAGTCCATGGGGTCTCAAACAGTCAGACAGGACTGAGCGATGAACACTTTCACTTTCTCATTGTCTCCTGGGCTGGAGCAGGAAGCCACCCCTGTCTGCCCTCCCTGTCTTCCGGACTCCTCTGCTTCCCTGGTAGGGGTGGGGTGGGGTGGGGTGGGGGGTGATTGCCACGTGTTGGAGAGCCAGCTGCGGAGAGAGCACGGGCTTTTGAATCAGAGTTCCCCAGGCTTGAACCACAGCTGTTACTCACAAGGAGTAGAACCCCAGACAGTCAAGTTGCTTCATTTGATTGTAATAAAACTAAAATGTGATAAGGAGTAGAAATATTTAGCCTATGTCTGGCTGCTCTGGAAGAATGTTAGCCATTTTAATTCTTATTAATATTCTCAGTGATATTACTAAACATGGCACTTTATGCCAACATTCCTTCAGTCTCCATAGGGCACGTGGCTCCTGTCTGTGCCCATCTTCCACTGGTCCCACTTTTCGGGCTGGGACTCTTGTTCGCCTCCCACCAGCAGCCTACATGCAGATGACTTTGTCAATTTCTGATGATTTTTAAGCATTTTTACTCTAGTTCACTGTGTCTGGAATACTCCCCCCACCACTTTTGTGTCCATTTTGCAAACTGCTACTCAGCTTTCAAGGTTCAGTTCCAATGTTCTGTCCTCTGTGAACCTACCTCCCAGGATTGATGTGAGGGTTGAGATTTATGTAATTGCCTGGAACATTTTACACCCTCAGTAAAGGTTAGTTGCTATTGTTACTATTGTTGTTTATCTTCCTGTTACAAAGCTTTCCATGGTATTCTTTCCCCATGGAGGCAGAGACTATAGCACCTTCTATTTGAACATGTCTCACATTGCATGCAAGTGCTGGAAAGGCAAAGACTATGTTTTTGTTATTCATGGTATAAATAGTTGGTGTTTAGATGTGTTTGTGGAACAAATGAATGATTTATAGTCACTTGTTTACATGTCTGTTGTCTTTATTAGATGGTGAACATCTTATTCATCTCTGTACCTTCAGTACCAAACATAATGTCCCCTAATGGGATGTCCTTGGTAGATGCATTATTAAGGAATAAATGAACTGATTCAGGGAGAAAATTCTAACTCCTTTCTCATTGTTTTGTCCAACGGGATACTAAATTAATTTTATTTATAAAAGGCAAAGGAAGCAACAGGGTCCTACTGTGTAGCATAAGGAACTATATTTAATATCATATAATAAACCATGATGGAAAATAATATGAAAGAGAATATATATTTACATACATATATATGTATGTATATATGTATATGTATGCATATGTGTATATATATAACGGAATCACTTTGCTGTACATCAGAAACTAACAACATTGTAAATCAATTGTACATCAATTTAAAAATTAAAGTATAAAATTGAATCACTTTGAAAATCACAAATGAAAAGAAAGGCAAAGGAGAATATGATATATTAAGAAAAAAACACTTTAGTGTTGGAAAGTGACTCTAAAGCTTTTTGATGCTAAATCTTGTTATACTGAGTGCTGTGTTATCAGTCTTAAAGAAAGCTGATGTTCTCAGACCATTATTCTACTTGAAAAAAGTTAGGCTTCCAGTCATGGTAAAGGTAGTCATGTGAGTTTCTTGATATAGAGTTTATACTATGAGGGAATTCTGTTAGTAACCATCTGAGATAATTTGTAGTTTCTATTGTGGTTTCATGAATTCTTGTCAAGGACAAAACAATGTGGGCAGAAATCTCAATCCTTGGCTCCTGGTACTTAAACAGAGATTGTTTATTAATCGCACGAGATTTAGACTTGGTCAGGATGGTTTCTTGCAGATCAGACTCCCCTTTGGGCCTGGTGGAAAGGGTGCGCCCTGGCGGCTGTTGTGAACACTGTGATGTGTGACTCACTTTTCCCTTCAGGACTAAGGCTCTCATTCTGTGTGCTGCTGCAAGTGTTGGTAGCTGTCAGCTCTCAGCTGTGAAAATTACTCTCAAGGAGGCCACCTCGTCCATAGCTGTGTTCCTCTCCTGGGGCAGCCAGAAAACAGTGATTGCTCTGTTGTGAGGGTATAAAAGTCTGACCCTCTTGCCTCAAGGCTGGACAGCCCTTAATGGCCTCCCCTGTTCCAGAGTGCCCCACCGTTGTTGTGGCTGCATCACAGTTCAAACCCTCCCCCTGTCTGGCCCTGCTTCCCTACAGCTGTTGGTCTGGGGCTTTCCCTAGTGAATCTACACACAAGGGTTCCTGAGGAGCCCAACCGAAGACTTCCATTTTTAAAGTTGTGTTTCAGTGCCTTTATGCCACTTCAGGATGACTTGCATGTTTTACAGAGACAGAAAGATAAGCATTGTCTATATCGATGAATGCTTTCTTGCTACTAACTTGGAGTTCTTCAATAGATACTATTTTTAGGTAGTAAAGATAGGGTTTACTCTCTAATTATTGCCAGAAGTAATTGGAGGTCACTAATATAAAAATGAAATTTATTACTTTGGGCAAATTACTCCAGTACTTAATTGGACTTTGTCTAAGTGTGCGTTTTGCAACTAGTTTAATTCTGGGGGATTCACTGAAAAATGTTGATTTTTTGTTT